CTCTGCATGGCTTCTCTCTGAAAACACAGCACAGAATCTGGCCTTGAACATGTTGTTTCCCTTCAGTGTCCTTGCCCTGCCTAGGAAATCAGCCCATTTCCCCCAAGACAGAAATGATCCCAGAAGTAAACAGCAAACAGGACTTGGCTGGGAGAGAAGCTGACACTGCACTAGGGTCAAGCTTAAAATCAGTAAGGGACTTCTGAGAAAGTCAGTCCCTTTTATGAAAAGCTCCTCCTATCAGGGAAAACCTGCTGCAATAATTTAATCTTGTATTAGGGTCTAGCTGGGGGAGGGAGGGAAGAGGAGGAAAAGCAGCATTATGTAACTTACCTTGGAGTTCTGGGAAGACTGGAGAGAGTCTCACAGGCAAAGAAACTGCTGTGGAAGTTGCAGCAGTAGCAACAGTTTGCCAAGTGCATCTGATCCCCTTCAAAAACACATTAGATGCACCAATTTCTTTTTTAAAAGCATAACGAAGCAAAACAATAGCATGTCAGTTCCCAGTGTGCTAGTAAAAGGCAAGCTGAACCCCTCTGTGGGCTAAGATCTCCAGCTCGTAGCAGGCCTAGGCAATAAATTATGGTATGGTGAAAAGCAGCAACAGGCCAATCATACAGACTCAACTTGGATTGTAATGAGATGATAAAGTCCAGATAACAATTACCGGCTGGGATGGGATGTGGACTCATGATCGTCAAGCAGCTCATTAGGTCCAAACAAGTTTAAAAATATGTAAAGGTAACATTTGTTTGTATTTCCCATCAGTGATTGGATTAGGAAAGGGTTCTGCTTCCCCACCTACATTTTGTTTGGGGATGGGGGAGGCGGAAACTGGCAAACCCACCTATGTTCTGCCATTTCGCATCTGGCTGCTTAGTAATGTTTAATGGTCTGTGTTTAGAAAGGGAGTTCTTGGTCCTAAGCTTTTGGAGAATTAGTGGGTGTGTGTTTCCTTTGAGCTTTTGAAACCAACTGATAAATCCAGTACAAGTCACAGCCTAAACCTAGAAGCTTGGAGCAGTTTACAGGCTTCATTTAGGTCACAGTTGGAAATGTCTGGAGGTTTCTTCCTAGTCCCTCTGCACTTATTTTGTGCCCGATGATTATTCAGTGGCAGATGTTTCGTGGCCTCCACTTTTTTCTTATGTAGTTTTTTTGTAAACAAAAAGGGTTTCCTGTGAGTTGAGTGCTCCTACAAGGCGCTAGTTTGATAGCCATGAAGATCAAACCCCACTATCCACACGGCAGATACGGGACAGGGGGAGCTGCTGGAGGTTCCCCCACATTGGCTTGTCAATGCACCTCACTAAGGGAAGGGAGGTACAACTTCCAACTACGAGAGGTTATTTCAATTTATGGCCCATTCGGTCCTTAGGCTCTGCTGCTCAGGCTCCCGATTACAATTGATACCGTTGGTGGTAGTGGCTTTTATGCTGAAGACATCTGTCCAGCAGGAGCTGAACTGTGGCCAAATTAATTTCACATTAGTCACCCAAGTCAGCAACAAGTAACAACTTTCCGTAACTAACGATCTGGGCGGGATTGAAGCTGGTGAACTAGGAGTGAAGAATAAAAGAAGGACATTTGTAAAACATTGCTTCACTTTTATATTGACTCATAGTTTGGGGTTTTTTTTCTCCTTTGTCTTACACGTACATTCAGAAATTCTTCCCAAGCAAGATTTTCCAGAAAATGTCCTTCGCTATGTTAGCTACCGAGCATGCCAAATCTTCCTTAATCTTATGATTTGCACTGTTTTGAGCAGGTGATAAAGTATCTGGATCTGTGCCCTTGTTAGTTAAGCCTGCCTGCCACTGGATTTGAACCCGAGATTGAACGTGCGCCAATGTCTGGAGGTCCCTATATTTCTGCTTGATGCTTTTCCTCTGCTCATCCTATTTACTGTCAAATATAAAATGGAATCCAGTGCTTTCTATTTCATCCACAAATAATTCCCTTTTCCTGATTGATCATTTAATAGATATATGGAACGCTGCCATCCACCCCGCCCTGCTCGTGTGCCTCAACTTTGTTCTGGAGCAAGTACGTGCAGCGCTGAGGACTGTTTGGTCTTTATGCCCATTCAGTTCTTGGCCTCCTTGCTAAGACTTACATGGTGCCAACTTTAGCAGTGGTTTTATGGGATCTGGGGTGAGACCACTAACACATTCTGCACTGGGCTCCTAACAGCTGTCAGTCGATCACTTTGCTGGGTCTTAAGACCAGCTTGTAGACTGAAAGGAGAAAACACATTTATAGTAGATAGCCGCAGCCAAAGTGACCCTCTGTACTCAGCCTGTGAGGACCAGAACATGTTCACATCTGTCCCTCTGCTTGGCTGCAGCTGTTGACTGCTTCCATTTGCCTTTTGTAGGAGTTAATATGGGCAAAGGCAAGACATGAGCTCCGGCCAAAGGAAAAATTATAGTTTTGTACCAAAAGGCCCAGGGGCATTGGATCAAAATTGTAATGGAGGCTGGAGAAAAGGCGAAAGCAAAGAATCAACATATACCTCAAACCCGCATATGTCTGCATAAGAGAGGAGCCATCTTGGGACAGTCACTGCTCAGTTTCAATCTGTAGTGATTTTGCAGGTTAGAGCAAAGTAGCCCTCATGCCAGATCATTCGGAGAAGGATTTTGGGTCCACAATGATACATGGTAGTTCTCAGCTATTTCTTTGTCCACCTCCAGATTATCAGAGCTACTGAGAGACTCAGTATCCATTCCAGCAATGACTACGGTGATGGGCCTCATCCAGGCACTGGAGGATGGAGTATCAGATACTCCTGGCATTCATTCTCTACTTGTACGTGTATATCCTACTGCACTTCAGAGCCTGGGAAGGTGAACCTTGATACCAAGACTCTTGTGAGTGCACCTGGAATTGGGGATAAAATCTTTTGGATTGATTTATCTTTACATTTAAACAGATTTGCCCTTTTCAAAGCCCATTAGTAAAGGGCAGAGAATGCTACGATCAGCCATAACCCAGGCAGCATCTGCACATTTCTTACTTCATATTGTGTCCTCACAAATGAAACCCTCCATCCGGATCCTGTACTAAAATATCTACAGCTGTAAACAAAATAAACAGACTTTTGAGCGAGGCTGAATCACAGGGAGATGAGACAGGACCTTACAAAACCTTCTGAGTTCGTGTTCTGGCCTCAGTGAAAGGGGTTTGGTATTGTGCACATTAAACCTCATTGTGGGCAACTCTCTTCATATCCATCCAGGATGTTTTTACAGATGAGAAACTCAATGGTCAAAATAACAGAGCCACTATCTCTTGAAGAAAAGGATCTTTGACCAAATTCTTTAGTAGTGACGCCTGCCCCAGCACCGCTCTGCCAGCAGTAATCTAGAGTTATATCCTGGACCTGACTCTGACGGCTCCGAGTTGCTCTGGCTGCAAAAAGCAGCTCTTTAGGCAGTAAACCTGGCTCTCTGAGGATTCCTGGCTCCACTAGAATATCTCCTGCACCGCTCCTCTCTGAGACCCCAATGCATGATTCTTTTTGGGATAAGGGGGGAATGGCTGGGATGCCCCTATGGCCACATTGGGCTGTGGGCAGCCAGCCTATGTTAGAGCTGGGGAAGGGGATCTCACAGAGTTAACAGTTAATTAAGCGAAAACTCCATTGCAATTCTGATCTGTTCCATTTGGCATTGCAGGACGCTTCTCTTGGGGTGGATCCTGCCAATGCTTACATGAGTCCAGTTCTGGACGCCACATTTCAGGAAAGATGTGGTCAAACTGGAGAAAGTCCAGAGCAACAAACATGATTAAAGGTCTAGAAAACATGACCTATAAAGGAAAGATTGAAAAAACTGGGTTTGTTTAGTTTGGAAAAGAGAGGACCGAGGGGGGGACTTGATAAGAGTTTTGAAGTACATAAAAGGTTGTTACAAGGAGGAGGGTGAAAAATTGTTCTTGTTAACCTCTGAGGATAGGACAAGAGGCAAAGGGCTTAAATTGCAGCAAGGGAGGTTTATTGGACATTAGGAAAAAACTGACTGTCAGGGTAGTGAAGCACTGGAACAAATTGCCTAGGGAGGTTGTGGAATCTCCGTCACTGGAGGTTTTTAAAAACAGGTTAGACAAACACCTGTGAGGAATGGTTTAGTTGCTACATAGTCCTGCCTTCAGGGCAGGGGACTGGACTAGATGAGCTAATGAGGCCCCTTCCAGTTCTACACTTCTATGATTCTATGAGTAACTTCACTCAGACAATTAATCCCATTAAATGCAATGAGAGTAAACCTGTGAGTAAAGTTACTTAGATGCTTATATACAGACTCAGGTGCATAGTCCTCTTCAACACAAGAATGAGTTAGCAATAGAGGCACAATCAGCATTGTTAATCCGACTACACACTGTCCATTCCTTTTGCAGAGATGATGGATGTGCAAGCATAAAGCAATGATCACTCTTCTGCATAAAGAATAAAAACTATGTGCATACAAATTCAAACAGCATTAATCCCACTGCGTACGTGAGGCTCTTTGCTCCCATACCACAAAAATACTGTAACCTTTAGGAAATAATATGGCCATAAATCAATAACCAAGACAAGGTCGATGAGGTAATATCTTTTACTGGACCAACTTCTGTTGGTGGAAGATACAAGCTTTCAAGCTACACAGAGCTCTTCTTTAAGTCTGGCCTGAAGAAGAGCTCTGTGGAGCTTGAAACTTTCACCAACAGCAGCTGGTCCAGTAAAAGATATTACCTCGCCCCCTTTGTCTCTCTAATATCGTGGGAGCAACACGACTACAACAAGACTGCAAACACAATAAATCAATAACATTTCCCAAAGGAAATCTGCACCGAGAACATGTACCTTCTGTTTATATAATGCATACCCTGTATCCACCTGCGTTTGGACACTGTGGGAACAATATGCATACGCGTTGCATGCCCTAATGGGACAACAGGGAGCTTCATTGCTCGAAAACCATCAACCCAACTATAAAGAATGTGAGACAGGAAACTGACAGTACAACTTTATTTTGTATTTCATACAAACGCTCTCCCCCAAATGCTTTACAGAGTTAAATAATAGAGTTAACAGACACTTACGGTATTTACAAGGTTCATTCTTGTCACTAGCCTGGTACGGCAGGTAGAACAGCAGTCTGGTTTTAGTCATTTGTTACGAGGCAAATAATGTAAGCGAAATGGAATCAGTCCAGGAACTAATTTACCACAGGATATTATCGTGTGAGGTGGCTCCATTTTTAAGCTACTCAGGGGAGCAAATGAGTTGATTACTCATAAGAAAGAGTGGCCATGAGACAAGTGTATGGAAATTTTGATTTGTGGGAACTTATTTGCAAATGAAAAGAGAGGTAAGTTTGAATCCCTAAGGTCAGAACTTGCCAGCAGTTATTTATATAACAGCTAAACGAGACCACTGAGTATGCCTAAGTGAATGGTTTGCTTGATTTATACATTCAAACGCAAGGGTAATGAAGCAATTTATGAATGTCTAAGGTGGTGCCTCATGTTAGTGTTACAACACATCTGAAGAGTATGCTGGACACCTGCAGTGTGAAAAACCGCCTTAGAAATGGAGCTGAACAGGAGACAGAGGTGCTGGAAAGTGGTAGATGGCCCAACCTGACAAATACGTCGTTCTCACAACAATACATTTGGAAAGCTGGGTAGACCAGTCTCATAGTACACTTCCTCCTGCCCAGTCAACTCTGCACTCAATCCTGTTTGTTCAGAAACTTCCATGTTCTGCTCTATGTCACTATGCTTCCGACTTATTGCCAGGTCCCCATATGATTATTATTACACGTGCCTATCAGGCATTAACTATCATTCTTTGTTGCCACAAATATTTGAATAATGAGAAAATGGGTAAAGGCCTGAAGAGGATGTTTGACTATTTATTTCTCTGTGGGAACCAGAAGGATGTAAAGTATCTGTTTCGAGTCAAGCAAATCCAATGGGCACACATGCTTGTGTCCCGCACCTCATATTACGCAATGGCTTTCTGAGAGATGGCACTTACAATAGGGGAAAACGACTTTACAATCTTAAATCTTGGTGTTTGATTAAAAAGATATTTCATGATTTAAAAGATACCTTCCATCTGAGTATGTCAAGGTGCTTGACAACATCAACTCAGCTTCACAACAACCATATGAAGAAGTCTTACACTCATTTTACACATAGGGAAACCGAGGCAGAGAGCAGGGTTAAGTGACTTGCCCCAGGCACGACTGGCAGCACATCCCATATCTCTTGACTCCTAGTCCTGGATTACCATGATTTCTCATTAAGCAGACAATTAGCTAAAGGGCACATGAGAAAATGAACATGAACTTTTGAGTATCAGCGGGTAGCCGTGTTAGTCTATCTACAAAAACAACAAGGAGTCTGGTGGCACCTTAAAGACTAACAGATTTAAACTTTTAAGTGGAGCAATAAAGCTAGAGGAAATAAGCCACAAGCAGCATTTATAGAGGAAGTGCAAAGAGACCAATTGTCAGCGATGATACATCAGCACATAAATACCCGAACACAACCCCAAAACCAGGTAAGGCAGGCGCCCACTTCACAAAACCTATTATAACCAATTACGCCGGGCCCAGTAAGCCGGGCCGAGGTTAATAAACCAAGTACAAATGAATGTGAATGACAATTGCAACGTAATACACTTCCGGTAGTGGCGGGCAAACACAGTGCAATAGTATTTTATACTTGATTAGGAGTTTAGCAGTACAGCTAATCATTTACAGTTGTCCAAAGTATTAATGTTCATATGGTCCCATCCCTTAAGAAAGACTAAGCATATGTAAGAGGAGACCCATACTTAGCTATCTATGCGACAGAACCCCCTTATGTTACCTGGACCGTAATCATTAAACCCGCTCCTCACTGAAGGGAGTTGCAAACCAGGATGTGGATGGATTTACAGACCTGATGTAGGTTTTGATGGTGAGCACAGGATAGTAAAGGGGGAAGGGTATTTTCCATTACCAGGAGAAACACAGTGCATCAGTGCCATGGCCTTTTGTCTCTTGGGACGAACACTGGGTTCAAATCCTGAACAGATCACAAGTGAAAACAAGCTACTGTCTAAACCACATTATAAAACTACTGCTCCATTCTGCGGGATGGGTGACTTTTGTTTGGGGGAAGTTCAGGCCGGGCACGGAAGGTGCATTGTTGCTCAGGATTAAACTGCATAACTCTGAAGAAGGGAAAAAAAAAAAAGAGCCAGCCCTTATTTACCAAAATGTCAAGCTTGAAGCCATGCTATTAGGGTCTCATTTCCTCTAGCACCGCTGTAAATCACGGATCCCCGAGTGAAACAAAAGCGAGAATGGACATGCTGCTGTCAGCTGGAATGACCCGCACTCTCTCACACAGAGAAATGCCCTCACCCTGCCACCAGAAGAATTCCTGCAAATGAGTTAGACCTACATAAACAGTAGCAGCCAGACTTGTCTGCGCTGCTGTTAAGTGGCACCTGGACTCAGGATTTCCTGACCCTGGCTTCTCATGCAGCCTGCCAATACTACAGCACATTCAGCACTAGGAAGCCTTGAATACCAGCGCTATGCCAGCAACCAGTTTCACCAATACACGGTTAACCATGTGTCCCATTTCTACCTCCCTCCTGTGATCCATCATAGCTTCAAACAGAATAAAGAATATGCCACTCAAACCCTCACAGCCTCTCTGTGTCACCGGGTGATGTAACAGCCATAGGAAGGATGATTTCTACAGGTGATTTCTATGCCTAGCACTAGCCAACAGATCTTTTTTTCTGACCTTCTTCTGAGACCCCATTTCTCAGACCCCTTTTAGGGAAAACCGACAGGAGAAAGAGGGGCAGGCCAGTTGCCCCATCTATACTCTTTTGTGCCTGCCCAGAAGAGGCAGCTGTGAATCAAGAGTGCCACGTTTTGCTTTCCTCACAATTCTCTGCACTGAGCATGGCCGGCTCCAGGCACCAGCGACGGCAGCAGGTGCTTGGGGTGGCCAATGGAAAGGGGCGGCACGCCCGGATCTTCGGCGGCAAGTCCCTCTCTTCCTCTTTGAGCTGCCGCCGAAATGCCGCCAATCGGCTTGATCTTTTTTTCACTTCGCCGCTTGGGGCGGCAAAAAAGCTGAAGCTGACCCTGGCACTAAGGGGCTGGAGTAGGGGAAAGGGACTACTGCTCCGAGGCAGAAATAGCACTCCCCCATCAGATAGTAACTCTTTTTGATATTGATCAATAATGCTGCCCTGGACTGTCCAATTCAAACCACAACACATTCTTTTCTGGGGAGTGATCAAAACCTATGATCTGCCCGGAACGGAACTGAACGTTTGCACTGAATGTTTTACTAGGAGCCGCGTGGAATGCCGTGGGGAGGTCTTGTGTTTCTCAAGAGTTACTGTTGATGCTCTTTAACTGCTAAGAAAAAGACCAGAACTATAACCAGGATACGGTAACCCTGGCAACATGCAGTTCAATGTTCGGCTTTCTGACACAGAAAAAAGGTGATTTGTTTTCCGTTCTGTTCTTAAACCACGTCTATGGTTCAAAGGTCAGATATTCCAGCAAGCTGAGTGTCTCCAACCCCCACTGATCCCAAAGGGAGTTGGGGGAAACTACAGTCCACCAGTTTTCAGTGGAATGCATTCTACCGCTCTCTGAAGTGCAAATTCAATTCAGAAGGGTGGACTAATCTCATGAGCTGCCTAGTGTATGGTGGTTATTGTGGCAACTGCATCCTACTGCCTCTTCCAATGGGAGAGATCAGCAGCAGCACACATGACCTTTCTAAAAGAAAAATGTTTCCAGGCTTCTGATTTTTAATGTGCTGGTAATGCAGGGGTAAGGTTTCCAAAGCAGTGCATGGGGGAAATTGGCCACATGGCTTCCATTAGCAGGAGTGGCAATCAAGCAGCCAAATCTCAGCTCACAGCTTACAAAACGGCCCAACGTTCAGCCAATACTGGATATCAGATGCCGTTCCAGCAGGATGCCCAAGGAAAAGAAAATCCTCCAAACACCAGAACAAAACATCTCTGCCGACAAAAACCAAACATTTCCCCCAAACAAAAGGGAAACCAAACCTTGTTAACGGCTCAGGTTTGCGCTGAGCAGCAGTGGGCCCGAATCTGATCCCACTCACTCTAGACCAGGAAGAGTAGCTGCATTTACCAGTTCTGATGTAACTTGCTAAGTTCTTGATGGATTTTGCTATTAGTTCCACAGCTGTGAAATTACAGAGAGCCAGGATGGCAGGTAGTTTTAAGAGTTGCTGTACAATTCTAGGGGCCACTGAAAACAGCAAAAGTTGGATCAGACCTATGATGAACAAAAACAAAGATACCTTTTGCTGGGGGAAGAACAAGGCAGTCAAACTTAGGAGCTGAAGACCAGTTCAGGAATCACCCAGGCAGCCCCAGTACTATTTCGGGGTCCTAAGCATTAGATAACTAGAGAATTCCAGGAACTATAAGGAAACACAAAAGCAAACCTTATAGCACAGGGGTTCTCAAACTGGGGGTCGGGACCCCTCGGAGGTCATGAGGTTATTACATGGGGGGTTGAAAGCTGTCAGCCTCCACCCTAAGCCCCGCTTTGCCTCCAGTATTTATAATGGTGTTAAATAGATTAAAAAAGTGTTTTTAATTTATAAGGAGGGTCGCACTCAGAGGCTTGCTATGTGAAAGGGGTCACCAGTACAAAAGTTTGAGAACCGCTGTTATAGCAGAATGTAGGTGCACAATCCTTTTTGATTGAAACCTGGATCAGGTCTGCAGATCAGGTCAATGCCATGTCATGTAACTAGTGAATTTCACTGTGGCTGCTTTTTAAAAAGATCATTTTTGCCCAGGACAGTCATCTCTGCTTAATATCAGATCTTGTCTGAAACTCTCTCCACCCCACCACCGTGCTGCATTGCAGGAACATAGCTTCCACATGGTCTCAATGTGTTACTGAAAGGTATGGATCTAAAGCAATGCAATAAAAGTTAGTTTCTCTTGTTAAAGTGCCTTATTTCCTTTGAGCTTTTAAAATGTTTTCCTTACATTTTAAAATGAAAAGAAAAAAAAGAATACTGGTTTTATATGAAACATAGTAGAACATTAATCAGTATTTACACAGAACTTGGACAAGGCCATGGCAGAACTTATTTAAACCCCCTCAGCATAACAACCCAAAAGCAGAGCGTCAAAAGGAAGGAAAAAATCTGTTCATATGCTTTCAACACCATCCCCTTGAGATCCCTAGGGTAAACCGCTTTATCTCTGAATAGGCATTTTACTGAGACGCTAGTAATCGGAGTTGATTACAGACATATTTTAAAACTAGTGGCGTGCGTGTGGGTGGGCGAGTTGCCTTTTGACCTCTCCAGGAATAGAGTATGCACTTAGACAAGTTCGACTTTTGCGTTTGGATAAACAGCAACAACATCATATCCTTCGGGGGGCTTAACCCTTTCCTTTGCATGCGTTTCGCAGTACAGCTGCTCCTCGATGAAGAAATATCCCCTCTGCTTCAGGTTTAGGCCACAGTCATTGCACATGAAACATTCTGGGTGGTAGAGCTTGTCCCGAGCTTTGACAATGGTCCCTCTGTTGAGCGTAGGAGAGAAGACAGATTACACACCAAGCTGATGTCAAAAGCAACAGCGAGCGCACTCTGGAGCAGTTTGTTCCACTGCCCAGCATAGCAAAGAAACATGAACGTAAATGGCATTTAGTGGCATTTTGAAGATATCATTTGACCCCTGCAACCTCTTCTGCCTCGGTCTCTAACACCCCCTTTGCTCCCCCTGCTGGCCATCTAAAATTCCACGGTGAAAATTCTCTCCCTCAGCAATTGCTCCTATCATCGCAATCTCTCCTTCAAGGGCCTGCTCCCACTGATGTCAGTAGGAAAATCCCTGTTAATGTCAGTGCCGGAAGCCCTGGACTGGCTCCTCACTGCCTTCTGCATCGAGTTCTCCTCAGCTTCAAGGTGCTGCTCAACTCTCCTCTCCATCATGGTCCCCCCAGCTCCTTTTTTGCACCACCCACACCTCTCAACCTGGTGGTCCTCTTTGCTTCCTTCTTCCATGCCTGTATCCACAGCACCTCCCACATGGTCACTTTTGCCTTGGACACTCTTCCCATCCCAGTGTGGCACTTCTGCATCCGCTACTTCTTTACATTCTTCCTTGAAAACCTATTTCTTTCTCAAAGTCTATCAGCATAAGGCTGTCCCCTCCACCTCTGCCCCTCAAGGGCCCAGGTGGGTGAGGTAATATCTTTTACTGGACCAACTTATGTTAGTAAGCTTCTGTAATAAAGATATTGCCTCCCCCGCCTTGTTGACTTTTGTCTGTCTGTTTAGGGTTCATGTCTCCCTCGTGTTCTGTACACCCAACACTTCCCCAGAGACACTTGGCACCTTCTAGGATTGGACCTTGAAGGAGATGTACATGGTAAGCTCTTTCCTACTCTTGTGGGTTGTTGCCTAACAGCCTGAATTCCTTACTCCATGCCTTGGCATGACGCTGGGTCTGGAGCAACAGTTCTCAACCTGTTTACCATTGTGGGCTGCAAGCCCATGGGCTGCAGGTTGAGAACCACTGGTCTGGAGTATCTACATTCAGCCAGGATGATGGCAAGGAGACCTGTCTGTGAGAGCAGGGAGCCATCCCCTTAGGCTAAAGCATTAGCCCTTTCACATGCGAATGTCTACACGAGCCATCTGTGGGAGATCTCCCACCACTGCGCTCCCCCCGTGATAGCAAGGATGGAAACATGAACACAGACAGTGCACAGGAACTTTTACCATGTTGTCAGAAAGCCCCACTTGGACTCGCTCTAAATGACGTATTCTGCATACAACATTGCAACAGTGGGAGCTTTCTCAACCCCCCTCTTCCCCCCAAGCCCCCTACCACGCAGGCTAGTCAAGCAGACAAAGCCCTACAGACTCTGCAGTCATCTACTAGGACTGAACAGAGCAACTTCAGCATGAAAAACACTGGCCTCTGGCACTTGAGCCAAATGAGAACTCGGTTTGCTGTGGGATAATAAAGGGCTGTAATAATGTCTGGGGCCATTCACATGCATTAGGCCAGTTTATTACAATAAGCATGGTAAAATCATATGCTTCATTAGAAATCATTGACACATCACTGTACTGGTCATATTTCTTTGCATCTTGAAAAGGCAACCCAAACTGTACTGGGGAATGTCACCTTATTCCAATTTTATATCTTGTGTACAGGTCTGGCTGGCAAAAAATATGAAGATTTGGAGGACTCTGCTGTAAATATTAATAGAGCCACTTCTATTAGATGAATACCACAATAGAGGTCTTGTGAATAGTTAATTGTCTTGTTCCACTGCATGGTGTTATTGACCTCTAATGCTGTGGAGAGATTATGTACTTACACGATCCCATTTCCACATCTGGTGCACTCAGGAAGCATCTGCAATCCAGACATGGCACCACCAAGTTTTGATACTGGAGATTTGATGTTTCTTGGGCCAGTGAGTCGGTCGAGTTTTTCACCTGCCAAGAGTTTTGAAAAGACACAGATTAAAAGTTGACCTCTATTTTAGAGGACTGATGTGATGATTCTGCCTGAGAAAACATGATATATATATATTGCAACAGAAAACTCTTCTTGCAATTTGCGTAACAAAGAAAATGGTGGGACCAATCAGACTTTAGCAAGTTCAGCATTTAAGTTCACAGAACACTGATAGGTCTCACATAAATCCATTGTGCATCATAATGAAGCCAGCAGGGTTAGTAACTAACTGCTCAGAATGGTAGCAATGAAATGGCTGTAATATAACCATTGATTACCACATCACCATCTCCTCGTACATCCTCAATGATCTAAACAGACACCATCAATCTAAACAGACCAGGGCTGAATTTGTTTGACAGACTTTTTTGGGAGCTAAGAGGCAGAGATGGGGAGAGAAAAGCAAACTGGTGAAATCATAAGAGAGCAGAACAGAGGGAGTGCGTTCTATCTGAGTAAGATTAGATGTATTGTTTTTTATATCTATGACCAGTCAAAGAGAAGAAGATTAAAACCTTTTGGAGCACAGGGCAAACCAAAAAAAGAAAGAAACCAAACAATAACACAGTTAAGTGCATTTTTCTTCTTAGGAGATTTATTTGTTTTATTACATCTGTCGTGAGTCAGGAAGACTTTTGTGAGCCTAAAACAAAAGTAAAACAGCATGTTAGAAGCCGACTTTTTTCTTGGCATTACGTTTTGTTTTACATCAGAGACCAGCCAAACTAAAAGGAAGCAATGAAAGCTTTATGCATAGTGACTGGCACTCTCTCTCACATATGAGCATATGAGTGTGTGTGTGTGTGAATACATATATACACACAGAGAGAGAGACAGAGAGAGAGAGTATACATATAATGAGTGTTTATATATAATGTATACACTCACTCACACAGATACGTGTACATATTGCCAAAAACTATAAAACTTAACAACGTACACGACTAACTGCGAGGTTTTCCAGAATCCCGTCGCCCACCAGATCACAGCTGCAATTTTGAATATGCTCATCCAAGCCCCCATTCAGCAAAGAACTTTAAGCATATGCTTAATTTTAGGCATATGCTTAAATTTCACTGATCTCCATGGGACTTTAGCACGTGCTTACGAGCTGTGCTGAACAGGAGTAAGTACTCACCACACAGCTACTTTGGAGCGTTAATAGCTTTGATTCTGCCCTAAAGTGCCTACTACAGCTTAAAAAAATTCTGTGTATATAAAAGTTAATTCTTAGCATTTTAAATCAACCAGGGTATCATTCTTCCAGGCTGTTTATTGAACTTGTCCCTATTGTTACAAACAGATTCACAAAGTATATTTCTGACTTGCATTACTCAGTGGTGCGTCCCTTTCTTTTTGCTTAGAATTCATTTTCCCAAATGATTTGGGGATGAGAGAAGCACCTCCTCTTCCCTTTTAGAATAAGGACGTAACAGGTAGGACAACTTGCTTTGCTTTCAACACAGAAAGACAGATCAGTGCATTTCAGCTCCAGCAGTTACCAGCATGACTGTACTTTCATCCTTATAGAAACCGTTTGCAGTTAATGCAGAGGAGGCTATTCAGTTATAGAATTAAAAGGTGAGCAAAGGGCGCAAAAAACTGTCTCCCTCCCAAAGTCAGGGTGTTTTTTTGGGGGAGGGTCTTTTAATCATTTCTCTGTCTTTGCACAGTGACAGAATCTTAGCCATTGACACTGAGCCAAAGCATGATTTTACCATCAACTAAGATCATGAAAACCAAAGACCCTCCCAGCCCCCCACGAGTAAAACACAGTGTTAATGTTTTCAGAAGACTTGGAATAAGACAGCCCCTCGCTCTATGCGTGACTGACTGCCCAAGCAACCCACTGAGACTGTTAAACCCAAGAGGCCTCCAGTGCGCTTGGCTGGACTCAAGCAGAACTCGTTTGCTGAGATTTTCTGTTGAGCATGGACTGACACAATCGCGCACAAGGTCAGACCTCACAGCACTGAGAGACGCTGTATTTGAGCTATTCATATATTCATTTGCCAGCTTTTAAAATATCACCCTACGCCTGAAGCTGCTCCTGTTCCTAAGCTAGGGAACTGGGATAACTTTGACAGAGTGGGGATAGAGAGAGAGATTTTAAAACAAGGCAGGATCTTCGAAACTCTCAACAGAATGCTAGGTCCTTTCCCTCTGTTTCTGCAGGCACAGAGCCCCACAATAATTTATGTTCCTCAGCGAGGCAGCTACTAACTTTAACTAAACATTCTTGTCTATGCTTTGTGGTTAGGGCTCATCTTTCATGGTTGAGGGGCACCCATTGAGGCAACTGTTATGTTTCTTTACAAATCCTGTCAGATTCCCAGCAGGAAACACTTCTTATTAGAGGCACAGTGTGAGGCCAATCATCATAAAGAAAAAATACTGCTTCTGGCAGGAAAATTTTCCATATCCCCAGTCCTTCATGTGAACTACCAGGTTCTCGAAGACTATGAAGATCCTGCCTTTAAAGATCGTGTACACTAGTCTTGAACCCGAAATGTATATTTCTTCTTTTTTGTTTTTAAAAAGGGGGGGGAAGGAAGATTTGAAGAACCCGATACGAATTTTAAAAATTTGCATCATTTAAAAAACAACAATAAAACTAAACCTCTTAAACAGAATCTCTAGTACTGAGACTCCCCAATACAATAACATTTCCCTAGTGCACCAGAACCCAGAAGTGAAATAATTTACCCCAAAGTGAAAGGGATTAGTCTATTTCCATCATCCAAGCTGAATGAAATGCAAAAGACGCTTAAATTAGGAAAAATACATTCAGATTTTAAAATGTTTAATTTTTAATTACCTATGCGTTTTATGCTGACAGAAGAGAGTATTTCATTTTTAATCCTTTACAAAATGAACCTCAGTAACTTAGCAATCAATGCTCCTGGCCTGATTCTGTGGCTGCAAAACTTGTCAGGGATTCACCAGCCTCATGTAAAAATCACCAGGAGAACAGAACCAGGTGTAAAGTAGGAGAGATAAAAGGATGGTGTTGGCCTAGAATCAAGATCTGAATTCTCCAGCTTGCTGACCTTTTGGTTGGTATCTTTCATCAGTTTTGTAATTCCAGACTCTGACAACACTGTGCTGCCATGTTACCAGAGGTTGGCATTATAATAAACTCCATGTGGGAGGGCAGGGGGCAGTTCTTCAAAAAAATCTTTTTAAATAGTGTTGCCCTTTTAAAATCTTGTAAAAGCAAGGCTCCACTGTTCTAGTTACGTCTCATCATGAGAGGATGAAAGAAGGGGAGGAGACAACAGTCATTTACGAGCTTCAACTCCAGCACTTTCTACTCGCTTCTTCCTAATAATGAGGTTCTTGGGTACGTACAGTTGTGCACTGTCAAAAGACCCAAAGGCACAATCGAATCCTGCTGTTACTGCCAGCTAATCATGCATTTGCCCTGCCAGCCTAGAATGGAATAGAGCGTCTATGCCTAGGAGTCCCATGGCTAATCTCATATGTCGCGCTTTTCCAAAAGTAAGTTATTGGCCCTTCTCCTTGCCAACATAGCCTAAGAAATGTAAACGGCTGCTAGGGTTGAAAAGTGATTTTCCCAAAGATCATAGCTTTTTCTCAGGCCTCCCGCACGCACCCAGGCCTGGCCTTTGGGATCTGTAACACTCATGGCCACACATTCTTCCATGTCTTGGAGGACATCAGGTCACACTGTGGGTGTGGGTGAGCAGTGCCACCTAGAGTGCACGGATGATGTTTTTAGGGCTCCCACAAGCTCCCTCAGAGCCACTTGCCTACAGCAGGGGACTGGCAGTAACCCAATGATTGTAAAGCAAGGCGGTGATATTCGATGGAACCCAGAATTATCTGCCTGCCAGACCTGGGCTCAGTGATACGGACACAGTGGGCAGTGCTTTGGGATGGTGGGGTGCAGAAAACTGTTCTGCTCCAGCCAACTATGGCCACAATGTGGCGGGCGGAGAGACTGCCAGCCCAAACACCAAATAACATTGGGCCACTCTGTAGCACCTCTTTTCTTCAACTCTCAAATGGCTTTGCAAACATTTGGGCCCAATCCTGCTCACCACTGGAAGTTGTGTTACTGATTTCAGTGGGTACAAGATATTGCTTGTCATGAATTAAGTCTTGCAATAGCCTAGTGGGGTAGGAAAATATTCTAAGTAATTTTACTCACAGGGAAACTGAGGCACAACAAAGCTGTGTTACCAACTCTGGCAATTTTATCCCAAGCCTTGCAATAGTTGTTTTTCCTTAAAGTCCCAGCTCCTTGAGTCATGTGGGAATATCAGTCTTTTTGCAGAGAAAAGCTTGAAAATTTAAACCCTAAAGGCCCAAAACTCACAAAGTGAACAAAGCATTTATTGTTTAAAATCTCGTGGCTTTTTAAGACAATCTCATAATTTTTTCAGACTGGCTCATGATTTTTGTATGGTTGGAGACGAGTGGACAACGTTCAGCTAAAATATGGGCTTTGTTACGTTCTATAGGAAGCTGGCTGCAGGACTGTGAGTATAACTGAGACCGCTGACTCCCATGATTATGTTTGTTCATGTAAATGCCATTTATTTAAATAGAAAAGGTAGGTGAGGTCATATCTTTTATTGGACCTTCTGTGGATGAGAAAAACAAGCTTTTGAGCTTACACAGCCCAATTCTTCAGGTCTTCAGCACCTGAAGAAAAGTTCTGCATAAGTTCGAAAGCTTATCTGTCTCACCAGCAGAAGTTGGTCCACTAAAAGATATTACTTCACCCACCCTGTTTCTCTAATATCCTGGGACCAACATGGCTACAACACCACTGCGTACATTTATTTAAATAGGCGACTGATATTCTATTAATTACGCCCCCAATCATTTCTAAAATATTACATCTGTATGGATACTTCTAGGAAAACAGCCGCAGTGTGCATCCAATCTGCAAACCTGGACACCTTCCACAGGATGCCCAACGTCTGAGTTTGGATGCAGTAAGCACACAGCTGCTAATCTGGGCTGTGTGTTCAAGTACCCAGGTTCGAAACCGCCATTGGGGCATTTATTGCTGGAGACGTGTTCGCATGTCCAGTCATTCCAAGTCTCAGCACAAAGGAGGTGAGATTGAAAACAACAGGAACCAGAACCGTCAGTTTCCGAGTTTCCTTTCAAAGTGCTTTCCAGGCCTGTGGAATGATTCAGTAGAGAATTACACAGAGGCAGTCGGCCAGGTCTTTTTCTCAAGGGATGATGTGGCTCAGCCCAGAGTGTGGAGTCTAATCCTTCCACAGGCAAGAAGCCAATATATGCGCACCTGGGCAATAACATGGAAAATCTGAGCAGAGGTTTGCCAGTGACCAGGTAATGCCTTTGCACACTGTCACAATCTCATTTCCCAGCATCCACATAAACAATGAAAGCAGATGAAGGTTGCTGGCCGGGTTAGTTGCTGAAGTGGTTGTGGCCAGTGGAACCGGAGTGCCAGGAGCATGTGTGAACAAGCTCTCTACAATGGAAGTGCAGAGGAGGTTGCTAATCCTGTTTGAGAGCTTGTGGAAGTGGGAGAGTCAAAATCCAGTCTTTGAAGTATCCCAGTACTGAACCAAAGACATTCCTGCCCAGTCACACACCACATGCTTTATGTGGAAGTCTACAGCTCTGCGTCAAGCACTAATCTCTTTCAAGTGGTCCAGACACACCAAACTGGGCTGGATGAAAGCAAGGCTGTGGTTTTGTTCTCAAGTTCAATACATTTCTTTCCACATACTTAAGATCAGTGTCACTACATCATATCAATTGAGGGCAGATTTCAGCTGTCCCAGCCCATGTGTGCAACTTAAAGGAGACAATGCAAAGAGACCTTCCTCACTTGCGCCTCTGCCACAGCTTGGGTGGGTGCTGTCTGGTGGGGTTAGCCCCCTGACATAGCTAGAAAGGATGAAGAAAGAGAGGTCCAGTGGTTAAGGCTCTGGCCCATGACTTGGCAGAGCAGGGTTCAAATCCCTGTGTGACCAAAGGCAAGTCACTTAACCGCTCTGAGCCTCAGTTCCCCATCTGTAAAATGGGAATAACAGCATTTCTCTGTATCAAAGGGGTGTTATGAGGACAAATACACTAAAGATTGTGAGATGTGCAGATACTACAGTAACAGGCAGCGAGAAGTGGAGCCAACTCTTGCGGTAGATGGGCAAAGAGTGTCATGGCCTCATATCCTGTTCCCACTCATCAGAGTAGCTGGGTACAGCTGCAGGGGGATGTGTGACACTCTGCTGAGGTTCAAAGAGTGGCATCGCTTCTTCTTCATTGTATGCTCCCCAGCATAATTCTAGCAAAGTCAGCAGAAATTCTCCCAGCCATTCCTGTTGCACTGTACCACAATCTGCTCAGTGTTGTAAAGCCAGGATCTGGCCTGCTCTGATGAGTGAGCACCATACAGCTAACTCTGTGGGGAGCAGTCACCTTAGTATCAAAGCACTGATGTTCCTAGCTTGGAAGGGCTTTTAACTTGTATCTTTGGATCATAAAAACAAATCATTTTTCCTGTTACACCAGCACAACCTCACTGAAGTCAACAGGATTGCTCCAGCATAGCTGTGAAGAGCATCTGACCCATTGACTCTATCATGAGAAAAAGAGAAGGCGTTGAAACATGTAGGTTTTCCCTCTTGTAGGGCATATTATATTCACAGGTAACAAACTGATTTAGAAGACAATAAGAATTAGGAGGCTTGGGGGACCCTTTGGAAAACTCCGTATGTATAAACAATCTGAGATGCTGTCTTCCTTACCATTCTCTCCGGCTTCTAACATGCCCTGCAAATACCGGAACGATCCAGACTGCTTAGGCTCCGAAGCTGGCTTTTCATAATCCTGGAGCATCTTGTACACATCTGACTCCATGTCAATCCCATTTCTGCTTCTCGGGAGAGGTTTTAAAGGGTCGGCACTATTTAAAAGCAAAGCAATGTCAGATGGTAAGCAGCCATTGCATTCAGGGGAGGAACAAGATTTCCAGTTAATTAGGGATGGGTGAACTCCATCGGGTTGGAAGTTTTATAAGCAGCCCCAAATGTTCTGTGCTTCACCAAACAAGTCTGCATTTCATTAAGCTTTTTCACCCATAAATTATATCCACGTTTATTTTCACAGCAATTTAATTAAATCCCCCATTCCCATGTTTTCTGCCTATAGCAAAGCTTGCTCTAGGGAAACAAACATGCAAACCATGAAAGATAAACTAGTATGTGGCTTGCTCTTCTATTGTGCAATATAACTAAGACTTGACCGGTTACCAAGAGTCTTAGAAAAAGGGCAGTTGCTAAAAAGCTTCGTAAATTACTGTGCCACACATGGAATGTACTGAAAAAATTCATTAAATTAATGACTCAGTGCTATGGAAGCCACCCATCCATCGTTAAATGACCCGACATCTGGGGTATTGTTTTGTTGTTGCCAGCCACAGCCCCTGTGGATATGATGTTATCTCCAGTGAACGCATCTTTCTAATCCAGTTTCCTTCTGGATAATTCCGCATTGAAAAGGCCAATGGTATTTGTCCCAGAAAGTCCAAGTGTTAAAAAAATAATAAAAATACCACAAAAATGACCACTAAACAAATTGATAAAACACCCTCCAAACTTCCTATTTTATCGCATTCTCCCCCATGTTCTTTGATCCCACATTGTCTGTTTAGATTGTAAATTCTTTGGGGCAGGGGATTATCTGTCTGTGTTATAGCACCTAGCACAATACTGGGTGCAATTGAAACAAACAATATATAGTAATGAAGGCCCTGATTCAACAATCCATCCTAATACAGCAAAGCTCTAAAAAGACATACTTATGTTCCATTCACTTCAAAGAGACTTTAGCAAATGCTTACGCATGTTGTTGAACAGAGAAGGTCTTAAGCATATGTTTAAATGCTTTTGTTGAACTGGGGCCTAATAGCATAATATAGCACCTGGGGGCAAGGAGTTTGTCTGTAAAGTGCCATGCACGTCAATGTCTTTATAAAAACAATAAAAATAGCCAGAGCTCTTAATCCCCGTCAGACAGCCGAACACATCTTACTCATCATCTGAATCACTGTCTCCACCAGCATTGCATTCATGCCAGTACATAAATCAAACAAAATTCACTTTCAACAATGCATTTTCTGGAAGTAATCTGGATCTCAGACTCCTGCTGTGCCATAGGTGCCAACTCCGTGGGTACTCCGGGGCTGGAGCACCCATGGAGAAAAATTGGTGGGTGCTGAGCCCCCACCGGCAGCTCCCAGCTTCCCCTGCTCCAGCTCACCTCTACTTCCTCCGCGAGCGCGCCGCTGTGTCCTGCTTCTCCTCCCTCCCAGCGCTTGGGCCGCGAAACAGCTGTTTCGTGGGGCAGGGAAGGAAGGAGGGGGAACGTGGTGTGCTGGGGGAAGAGGCGGGGCCGGGGCAGGGATTTGGGGAAGGGATCCAATAGGGGCAGGGAGGGGGCGGAGTCTGGGCGGGGACTTTGGGGAAAGGGTTGGAATGAGGGCGGGGCCAGGACCGGGAAAAAGGTGGAGTCGGGGTGGGGCCAGCGGTGGGGAAAGGGTGGAATCAGGGTGGGCCAGGAGTGCGGGGGGGTCGTGAGCCCCACCAGCGCCAGAGAAAGTTGGCGCCTATGTGCTGTGCCCTACTTCTGTTTGGAATGTGCACTTGTTGGTGGGCAACTTAGGAACTCAAAGCTAAACCTGCAAGATCAGACAAGCAGGACTTGATTTTCTAACATTCTAATGGGCAGTTAGTGATCTCTTCATCAAGTCAGCAGTGGCAGGACTGGATTGGTCACCAAAGATGGAGATGCCATTATATACAGTAGAGGAACAAGATCCACAACTAATTAGGGAAGGGTGCACCACGTACTTCCTGGGGTTTAAGGTTTTGCAAGCTGCCCCGGGTGTTCTGTGTGTCACCAAACAAGTCTGCATTTGATTAAACCTTTTCATCCATGCATTACATTCTAGTTTATTTTCACAGAGATTCAATTAAACTCCCTTCCTCCCGCAATGTTTTTTTGCCTATAGGGAAGCCTGTTCTAGGGGAAAAATGCAAGCCACAAAGCAATCTATGCATAATTCTCTGAAGGTTGTGATGCCCATGAAATCTTGAGACAGCGAGCTGAGCTGTTGCTGCTGAGAATCGTTGAGTGCACATGGGACTGCAAGTTGTTGCAGCATCTACCACCAGTGACTTGAACCGGACTCTACAGATTCTGTGCCAGTTGCTCTGGTGTCCTTTCCGCATGTCTGAAGTTCCCTAATTACCTCGTTATAGTGCTGTCATCTGTCAAGTCATGCATTTTCAACTAGGGAGTAAACTTGTGTTTTATCAAATCCAGGCAAATCACATACTTGGAAAAGACTGAGTTCACGACCCAATTCTGAACCTATGAATGCGTTCAAAATCAAGCACAAATGCATTGACTCATCACTAAAGCTAATCCCCCTGTTTTTAGCCAAGGTATACAAAGCCACAGTCTTCTCTCAGTGATTCCTGTGCCATCTCAACAACTTCAGCATCATTAATGTCAATGAGGCTGTACAAGTATAACAGAGGGCAGAATCTGGCCCATCAAGTCCCCCAGGTGTGAATTAGTACAGACACACAGTACTCAACAATCTGAAAAAGCTTCTTCACCACTGGGAATTAATATGGGCATTTTTCCTAGTTCAGAACTAATGTATGACATAAATAACCAACAGCCTCAAACGAAGATACTCCAGTCCGCAAGCTGGGCTGCATCAAAGTTTCAGCTATTCATCTGAGCTGTGTGTGGCTAGAAAAGTGTTTGATTTTCTATACGCACTAATATACCACAGCCTGCCAAACAGCTGCATTGACCTAGATTTATAGTTGTCCCAATTTATTGGATTTAGTTTTGTATGAAAACCATAATCCCAAAATCTGCTCCAAGGCTTCACTTGGAAGACCAGTCACTGTACAACAGCAATCATAGCTTCTACGGGGCAAAAACCTTTGATAAGTGTCTGGTGGACAAACACTTCCTTAAAACAAGATACTGAAGTTTATGACTAACTCAGGACCATTAGCATCATCCCACATTGGGATCTCATCTGGTGACTGCTACCCTATCCAGTTCCATTAGCAGTAAAAGGATCTGAATCAGGTAGGTTCCAAATTCAGTAGTGATATAAATGATGGGGTAAGTTATACAATGGGTGTCAATCAGGCTGGCTGTAATGCCTGGCTGTAATTGATGAACTAGAGTAAAATGTACTAGTTTGGCATTAAGTGGACAGGCAAAACAGGGGGTTGGACTAGATGACCTCCTGAGGTCCCTTCCAACCCTGATATTCTATGATTCTATGAAAACAACGTCAGCCAACGTGATATCCACACCAGCTTGGCATCCTACAGGTAAATTGGGAATTGTGTGGGGATAGGTAGAGTGGGGGAGATCTTGCTTTTATTTCACAGCTTCCTGTTAACTGTTTGTCCTCCTACACAAATCCCTTCTGTCCCCCAAACACTCAGTTACATGTTATTTGCGCATCTACGAAATGCCTAATTGGTGAAATTTATGCCATTTGGCCACTGACATTACAACATGTGTAAATTACAATTTGTGTAATTGCCACCACTGAATTTGGCCCACAGACTCTCACGGGTGTTACCATTGATTGCTCGAAGAAGCATTTTGCTGAAACTTGCCTTGACCCTTTCTAATGAGCACAGAGGAACATGCCTGCCTCCACCTTTGGAGAGTCTGCAGAAGTTCACAGAGGTGGTTACAAAAATCCAGAGTCTCTGACCCATTTGAAATCCACACTTGAAGGGCAACTGTCAACTTAGATTTTTTTAACTGAATACTTAAAAAAACCAGTTGCTGACAGAACACCGTTAAATAGCATGTTCTGATTTTTTTTTTAAAAAAGATGCCTTTGAAAATATTTACCTTGGTTCATGTACATAAGGGTTTTTTTCATCAAAGGAAAAACTGAGTGACTATTTGGAGGAAACTGAGAGTGATTGTAAACAGCGTGTTGTCAAATGTACAAAATAAACTTAAAAAATAGAGAAAATCATTTTTACTGCCAATATCTGTCGGTTATAGTTAATTTAGGTGTTACTTGGAAGCATAATAGGTACACCATTTTCAGACAAAAATGTGGTTTTACCGAGTAGGAAACTTCCTTTTAAGAAAATGGCCAGTCAGACTGTTCAAACGTACAGATTATTGACCAGTTTTACTGACTACAGAGAAAGATGCAAGTACCCAGTCATCCTTGCTTATAGACCATCACTGGTTGTGTTGTAGTTCAGTTATGTGATGGCGCCAATCAATCATTTTTCCAAAATACTAATATGTTAGGCCAACATAAGCTAAACTGCATGAAGAGAACTTTTGCTGTAGCAAAGCCGTTTAGCTGTGGTTAGTATAATGGAGTTCTGGTCCACGATGGGGCTCCTAGGCACTATGATAATACAAATAATAACAAATATCCAGCTACCTTGGTATAACATGCTTATGTATTGTACTGAGTGCAATAAGGGGCAAACAAACACCAGCCGCACACGGCATATACCTACATAAAATAAACAAACACTGACTGCTGCTCCCATATGACATTTTGATTAGAAACTTGAACCTTCAGCTCCAAGAACCCAGGTTCCCCAAGAATGTGGGATGGCTGCCATCTTCACTGGCACATTCAAAATTAGACCAGGAACCTCCAGAGCTAAAAGCTCTGCAGCTTGCGCTCAAAAGCCAGTACGCCCTATCCATGCTGTACCAGACGTCTATCCTTTACGGACACGGCACGGAGTGGGGACCTGTTATGTAAACCCTTCCCCCCGCCCCCCAAAGCATAACACTTTATATAAATTGCTATTTAACAATGTCAAATTCCATCATTAACTGTTAGCAACATAATCCTACGATCAGAGTTTTTCTCACACCTGTGTGGCGAAGCAATATGGAGACCACTCATCTGTGCTGGCAAACTGGATTCCACATTGTTATTTGGATACAGTCGCGTTGGATTATTGTACTGCAAGTTCAACATCTGTTTGTTGTCAGTGGGGCTCCCTCCGGGAGCATAGGGCACTGGTCTTCGGCTCTGAGTGGGCCCATTATCCTAAAAGAGAGAAGAAACAGAAAACGGTGAGGTACATGGCCCCAGTACTAAACAGTCACTCCGGCTATTCTTCGTAGCCTAGAACAGCATTTCATTTGTTGTTGTAAATAAGCAGCGGAAGAGAAAGAAATTCACCAGGAAAAAGGAAATTCACTTTTGACCCATAATTAGATCTTGCTGAACCTGTACAGCTTTCATTGGTCTGTAATTAAATAAGCTTGACTGTTTCTCAATATTCAGCCATTGTTAATTATTTCGCATTTCTTCATTTCCCCCATATGATCCAGATTTATCTGTCCTGTGAAGGAAGAAAAAGGGGCATGACTCACATTTCAGTTATACCTTTTCACAGTACAGTTGTGCACTGTTCCGATTTACTCCTGATTCACACTGGTGCAAGCAAGATCAGAATCAGACCCCTGGGCTATGTATTCAGGTTACACAAGAGCCCAAATAAAGGGCCAGATCCTGACACCCTTTCTCACCTTGAATAACACCTTACTCCACAAATAATTTAATTCATTTCAATGGTGCTACTCTTGAAGTCAGGTGTTACTTGAAGTGACTAAGGTGATCAGAATTTACCTCAAGCTAATCATTTGGTATCTATATTTATATTTTTTTGCTGGCTTTTTAGTGCCTGAGTGAAAATTAACATTTTGCAAGGCCAAACCGATGGAGGATCTGGTCTCTTTGTGGTATTTCCACCAAACAGGCACTGAAGCATTGTAAAAAGACTAGTTTTCATGTTATTTCAGCTATACGAAATATTAACAAAGGCTGTAAAAACTACGGACAAATATTTGATCCTGCGCACACCAGAAGCTACAAAACACATCAGAAGTAACATTTACTGCTAGAGGTGCTCCCTGCCAAGCAAGCTGTACCCACGTTTTATCTCCTCTTTAATATCCTGCTTTGTGAGCTATCAGTAGAAAGAAGAACCGTGGTATATTGACAAGGAAAGACAGGTTATTTCATATCCAATTATCAAAAGCAGGGTAAAGCAGCTGAAAACCAAAGGGCAGTACTCTTCCACTTGCCCTGTGCTTGTTAGTTCCATTTGTGCTAGTCAGGTTCATGTCTGTATTGACGGAAGAATAGACATTTACAAGAGAGACATTTTAATTGTAATGTATTCTGGGCTGGGCTCCAGGAGCTACGTTGATTTATACCAGCTGAGGATCTGGTCCTCAGTTTTCAACATTCTTGTATATTTAAGGCTCGTGAAAAGCTAAGGAGAAAAACCACATTGTGACCAAGTAATGGAGTGCACAGTTTGGGTTCTATTACCAGGTTTACTTTTAACTGAAATCATCCAATAAATGCTAATTAGAAACAAAAGTTTATCACTGGCATATAGAATGAAATAATTTTATGTCCAAGTATAGTAAAAATTAATTGGTAAGAAAAATAAAAACAGACCCAGCTAGAGGCAAGGTTTTTAGCATCCAATCCTGAAATTCTTCCTCAGGCAAAACTCTTAACAATATCAGTGGGATTTTTGCCTGAGTAAGGAGAGTAAGATTGGGGATATATGGCCTGATCCTGCAACCACCTAAGCACGTGAGTAACTATGTATGTGAACAGTCCCATTGGATTCAGTGAGACTGTATGTATGCATGAAGTTACTCATGTGCTTAAGTAGTCGCAAAACTAGGGCATTCTTTGTAATGCTATTTCGGAGACATATGGGGGAAATAATTGCTTCCAACATATGAGATCAAATTATCTGTTAAAAATAATTCATCTGCTGGGAATAATATTTCTGTTTTTTCACCCGAATGATTCTTTAAAAAAAAAAAAAATCAGGCCACAGTTTCCAATTCCCAGATTTACAGTATTATTTTAAGGGAAATAAAGCAAATACTTTCTACCATGCCCCAGAGGGGAAAAGGAAGGCCATAAATGTTTGAGGGAAAGCAATAGTGTAAATTGGCCAGATGGTAAAGCCATTGGTTCTTTGGAAGCCAATCCTGTAAATGTCTATGTCAAATAGGTCTGAAATTGCATTTCACCCCAAGGAAATTGAATGCTACCCTTTCCTGAGTCAGATGAAGAATGAAGAAACCACAGAGCAACAGACAGAGGCTAGTCTGGGTCATGTCTAAGGTTTGACACTTCTGTTTTACATGGATGAGCCACTCAGAACTATGGGCCAAACTGTCCCCTGACAGATGCATGTGCAGCTCCCAGAGAAGCCAACACAAATACAACATGTGTGTCCATGGGAGAATTTGGATTTAAATTATTTGGGCTGCATGTTTCCCTCTACTATGGAGTAGAATGTATCTGTTTTGAAGAAGAGTGCAAGTTATCTGAGAGCATTATGCCACTGACCCAGTGCATGCTCTCACTCCATCTCCGCCCCATTGTAGGTACACAGTGAGTAGTTAGCGCTCTGCCGTGATGGGGTGTGCTGGAGGCAGTGAAACCAGGCTAGCCTGCAAACTCATCTAACTTTAAGGGTTCTCAAGAGTAAATCTGCCTGGGGATTAATTCTTGTTCAAGCAATATCATCTTCTCCCAACCATCTTAACCCTTCTCCCTTGCATGCGGGCACAGAGGGAGGGGATCTTCAGTGGCACAGCTCCTGATGGCATCCAAGCAACCATAGAGAGGAGCTGGAGAAGAATCCTTGTTACCTTTTGTGCAGGTATGGGATCCCTCTCCTTCTTGGTTGGAAGAAGCAAAGGAAAGACTTTCCTGGGTTGACCCCACGGGGTTTCTAACATTTGTTTCCCTCCCCCCATCTTGTCCTTTTTTCCATACAAGGGATGATTGGGGCCTTTACCATTAAGGTAACATGGGATCGTAATCCATTTCTGGAATAAAATGCACTTTAAAGTGGGCCTAGAAAGCATGATCTCCTGGGGCTCCTTTAATCTGAGGCAGTTTGTAAACTGTCAGGCATTCATTTCTGTTGAACAAAATGATGTGTAAATCAACAGCAAATGTGTCTTAAAAAGCTAAAAAATATTGCTTTGACACTCTCCAAAGTGCACAGAAATTCAGTGTTGGACACAGATTTATTCAGTCTTGTGGGGGCCTCCCCAACTACGCCCGGTTAGGCAGTGCAGTCTTGGAAACATTTCTGTGTGGAGTGGTCTCAGTTTGGTGATAAGCACAAATGGTTGTGAGGCCATTTGACAAGCAATGATGTCCCTTGCTGTGGTTTTGTGGTTGAGCACCGACGTGCTGAACTCTTGAATATCTGGCCACTTATTCCGTTGACAGAATAGGAACTGACCCCTTTGGAAAATCTGTCCTGAGGGGTTCAGGAGAGGGGCTATAAGAGGCTGGCTAGGGGAATGCCTGTGAGAAGGCAGGGCTCTGTGCCCAGGTGCTGAGGTCTCCTTGAATTCCACACTGAGAAGGATTTTTGTTTTTCTCCAGATGCCTTTGCTTTGTTTGCATTCCTAGTTATAAAGATTCGGAAAAACCCTTGCAAGACTGCTGTTATCTCATTTCCTGCTGACTCACCCCAGTAGCTCATGGGGCCCTTCTACTGTAATGCTCTCTCCAGATTCCTGTCTTCTCAAAGGGGATTGAACTTCTTGATTGCATATTCACTGCAAAGCTGAGTCCAACTTCTTTGTTTTCAGTCTGCCATGTCACTTCCCTGCAGTCACAAACAATGAGCCTTTTGTACCACATGTAGCCCTGGTGATGTGAGGGCTGGGATTCATTTAATTTTAGTCACTACTAATTGATCTGTAGTCATTATAACCATACACGGTATGAATTGTTCATAAGCACCTGCCCTCTCTGCTGTTTTCAAGGCTCTGCCATTCAGACTGACTTTTAACTGATAGCACAATGGTTATTTCCTATCTACTTAAAACCTTGGCCAGTTTTCTAGAATTTCACCTGTGGGTAACTGCCAAGTGTTGTGCCAGGGTGAAGTGAAGGAATTACTGGCTACTGGGAGGTGCAGAAGACTAGTATTGTTAGGAGCAACCACGCTTTATACTCCCTTTCCAGGGACAAGGTAGGTATTATTCTTTCTTTTTTTTGGACCAACTTCTGTTGGTGAGAGAGAGAAGCTTTCAAGCCACACCTTGTTTCTCTAATATTCTGGGACTGACATGGCTACAACTACACTGCATACTCCCTTTCCACTCAGGATCACTCTCCTGCCCCGGTACATGCTCTCACTGTGACCCGCTTCCCTTCACTGCCAGTTCTCAAACCCTTCCTCAGAGCCTAGAAGCTGACCTGATGGTGTCTCCAGACCTTGAAGATCAAAGGACCGATTCCAAGTCCTACTGGAAGATTTCAATTGGCTTAAATGGGATTGGGCCAAAATGCACAAGCGCATCTGGCATTTTCTCTCCCCGCACTGGAATGGGTGCAATAAGTTCTTTGAGTAGTTGCAGTCTTTGATGGGTTTATTTTCTTGGACCACGCTGCGGATTCAGGCTGTGGCTTAAGAGGAAAAACATGGAGAATATTCAGTCTTCTGGGAGGTCACTTGTCTTGGTCTTTCTTGGTTGTACTCCTTCGGTTGCCTGGATTGGTTTCAGACTCCTTTCTCAGTACCTGTCTCAGAGTTTTCAATGAAGGCCATGCAAGATTTTACATAGTACAAAACAGTCATGCCTTAACCCTTAGAGATCCAGATTTCTTTCCAGTTCAACGTTTAAGATTACAAAAATGTCTCCAATTTGGTGGCTAATTTTCTTTACTCTGCCAGCTTTTTTCTGTTCTATAGAACATATCCTAGTTAGAGGAGTTTTAAAAAAAAATTCTTATGGAGTTTCGCTGCTAAGAACTAGTTTTATCAAAGGGAATTCTTTTGGTCTTCAAGACAGAAGCATTAAAATCTATTTTCTCATGCTAGCCTTCCAAGATCAATTATAAACCACAACAAAATCTAATGGAGTTTGTAGCTGGCTTTTGGGATTCAATGGAAACTGGCTTGTGGGGCTTCTCCCTCATGATTTGTGTTTGAGTCACAAATTAATTTAACATGAGGTGCTGAGGTGAGATCTCAACAT